AGATAAAATAACTGAAGCTTATTATTTGTGGTGTTTAGTCTTCATATTATTAGTGTTTTTTTGTCTGCTTGCTATAATTTTTTGAGAGAGACATATTAATATCTATCATTACAACTAATGGTATATATATTTCCCCTCACATTTGTGACACTTGTCGTTTGGTATGTTTTGAAGTTTTATTTGTGGATGCAATTTATTTTGGATATTTTTTCTTACTGTTCATATAAAAAACATTTTTGTCCCTTATGGTATTTTTGCCATAAATTTTACTCATCTGAAATTAAGTTTGCTATTTCAGCTTTCTTTTGATTCATATTTTTGTAATCTTTTTCTATCCTTGTATTTTTAAATATTTTTCTTTTTAGTGTATCTCTTCTAAACCACATGCTAAATCTTATTTTTTAATCTATGGGTCTTTTAATCTGTAAGATTAAATTATTTAAAATTATTTTAATTATTATTATATTATTTTGCCATCTTTTCTTTTCTTATTTTCTTTTTTCCCATGGAGCAAGTTGTCTTCTGTTTTTATTTTGTTTTTCATAGATTCCATTTTGGTTCTTATGATGGTTGTGCTTAACTTAAAACCCACAATGACTATTATTTACCCCTACTGACTTTTTAAATGTATTAATATCTTAACTTAAAACCCACAATGACTTTCATTTGCCCCTACTGACTTTTTAAATGTATTAATATCTAGGTCATATTTTTAGTAAGACGTGGACTTCAACACACTCTTATGTCCGTCTCTTTCTCCCCTCATGTTTGTATTGTCAAGAATTGTAGTTCAGATATGTAGGCATTGACATACTTTCTATGTCTCCTTTTTTCTTTGTTTGCTCTCCTATATTTTTTGTTGTTAGTTTTGTTTTATGATAACAATAAACTTTACCAAGGTACTTGATCACCTTTCTTGTCATATTTCATGCAGCCTTTCCTGAATTTTTTTCTCTTAATTGACTTATTAGAAAAATAGGTAAGTGTATATGTTTAAAATATATTTAGGTTACTTATTAAAATAATAGAAACTATGTGTGAAATTGAAACCTATATAGATGAAAAGGTGGTGATGAGAAGAAATTTAAGCATAAAACTGTCAGTCAATCTAAAAGATGGGAAAGGAAGAATAAAAAACGATATGTTAGAAATAAGTCTATATTAGTAATCACAATAAATAAACATGGATAATAAAATAACTGAGTCATACTGATTGAGTGAAAAACAGAAATCTTGCTCTGTGCTCTTTACAAGAGACCTATTTAATTTCACAATAAAAGGTCAATCATGTTAAACAGTGGTTAAGATCCATCAAGCAGATGTATTAGGCATGAACTAATATATAGCTAAGCATCCATTTCAAATTGTATAAGCAAAATCTGACAATATTAAAAGAAGGAATCAAAACTCCAGATGTATAGAGAATGATTTTAACTGATCTTTCTTGAAAAGGACCTTAAAGAAAACTAATAATCAGAGCTATGTTCATAGATGAGAAGACAAAAGAGATATCAAGTTTATATAATATTGTTGGAGGGTTACTTATATACCAAAAAAGGAGCGGAAAATTACCAAACTCCTGGGAGAAATACTACATCCTGGTTCGTCAAGGAAATGGAACAAGAATGAACCTGGACATTTGTTGTGCCAGAAAGTAAGGAAAGCTCTCAAACATCAAAAATGGTCATATTACAAACCTAGGAGCCAACCTGAAGGGATTCTTACTAGTCTGAGATGAGAGAATCTTGCACATCTAAAAGAAAAATGATTGCAATTTAATTGCAACCCATCCACTAGGTAAGAATCAGTGAGTATGTAAACATTGAAAAGCAAAATAATACAAATCTCATTGGTCATAGTTGGTGATTGCTTTGCCCCGTCTCATTACTCTGAAAATTGATTTTTAAAAGAGAGTAAGTTTGGGAGATAATCAAGCATTTTATCTTATCTTTTTCATTAGGATTACATTTTAGGATAACCAGAAAATTTGTAATGGCAAGTTTTTCATTATAGAAGAATTATAGCATATGTATGCACAAGGAATGGTAGAATTACAGAATTAGACAACCAATTTGTAAAACCTAATGAAATCACAAATCCAGGAAATGATCATCATTTATTGCTAAAACTTTTAATGAAAGGTTTAAGAGAATCTTGGAATGGAAGGACTGGGCTGATAGCACCTGAAGCCATTGTTCAGTTTAGCTAACTAAAATGTACTATAGGAAGTATATACGCAGGTATTCTTGTCAGAAAAAATGAACCGTAGTCTAATCAAGTCTCTGGAACAAAAGAACCAGCTAACAGGAAGTAAATAAAGAACTTAAACGCCACAAGAAAACAATTAGCCAGATCATTTTTAATCCTTCAGAATTCATTAGTTTGAAGTATATCTCTTATAAGCAGTGTGCCACTTTATTTTAAAACTCAATTTTAGTATCCTTTTCTCTATCAATAGGCTTACTTGTCATCTTAGTTTATTGTTTATATAATTCTTTTTTCTGTTTAGATTTATTGTACTGGCTAATATTGAATATAGGTGTCTTGCTTTTATTGTTCCGTTAGGGGAAAATATTTGTAACATTTTAAAAACTATTTTCAAGGGACATTTTATAGTATTTTTTAGTAAACTGAAATACAGATGCCTGACAATTTCACTTCTAGAGGTTTGTCATACAGAAATATATCTATTTATCATATAGAAATATTTGTATTTATCATATAGACATTATCATATAGAAATATTATTACAATAGAAATAATTGTATATTTAAGATAATTCTTTTGCTATATGTTATAGCCAAGAAACTGGAAGCGATCTTAATGTCCATTAATATGGGAACAGTTAAGTCTTGGACATCAATAAAATGAAATGCTACATAAGTTTTGCAAATAATATTAGTTATCTATTATTGCAAAACAAATTATTTAATACTTAAAACAGCAAACATTATCTTACCCAGTTTCTGAGGGTGAGGAATCTGAAAGAAGCAAAGCTGTCTCAAGGTCTCTCATGAAGTTGCAGTGAAGCTGTCAGCAGGGACTGCAGTCATCTGAAGGCTGCACTGTGGTTGGAGGATCCACTTCTAAGATAGTTTACTCACATGGCTGTTGGCAAGATGTCTCATTTCTCAGTGAAAGCAGAAGGTCCCAATTCCTCACCACAGGTCTGCTTAAGTTTTCTCATGACATGGCATATAGCTTTTCCCAGAGCTAGTGATCCTAGAGAGAGCAAGAAAGAAGCTGCAGTGACTTTTATGACCCAGTCTCCAAAGTTGCATAACACTACTTCCTTATCCACTTTATTTCCTATTCATCAGAAGTTACTCACTAAGTTCAGCCCATATTCAAGGGGTGGGGAATTAGGCTTCACTTCTTGAAAGTAAAGGATCAAATAATTTATGGGCATGTTTAAAAATTACCATAAATAAGATAGGTCTACCTGTACTGAAGTGGGAAGTTGTACGCTATGTATTAAATGAAAAAAAGAAAATTGCAGAATTACCATGTCTTTATTAAGGAAAAAAATCAGTGAAGTATGAATGTGTGTTGTGTATACATGGAAGAAGGTTAGAAAAAACACAGTGAAAACTAGTTATAGTGGTTATTTCTTAAAGTATTTGGGGGAAGGTAGGCTTTTAATTTTTACTTATATTATTTCAATGTTTTAAATATTTATGAACTTCTTTTCAGTAAAAGAAATTAGACTCCTGATTGCTAATATGTTTTTAAAATAAATCCTTAAATTTTTTAAAAAAATAACAAATCCAATAACTACAGATTGAATTTTATTTTTATTGTACTTTTTATAAAACTAGAGATCAGTGAGTCCATTTATTTTCTAGACAGATACAACTTTCACAGTTTCACTCCTGTAGTTTGAGTTTCTGAGCATCCCAAATTTCTTTTCTTTTTTTAATTTATATATTTAAAGTGGATTCATTATATTTAAAATTTATTAAATTTATTTTATAAACATTAAAAATAGGCCACTAGATATTTAAATATATGGCTCTGAATGTTCTCATTCTTGAGTTCTTATTTGTGGTTAATGTTTTGTTGTTTAGACATATATTTTCATGTAGTTTATTTGGAAAATAGTAGTTTGGCTGCATATTTTTTACCCTTGAATATTTCAGTACATCTTTCCTTTACCCTACGTTAACACATTATGACAGTATATGGAAATCTCAACTGAAACACTTTATCAAACGTTTTTAATTTATCTCACTTTTATTTAATAGGTAGTGCTGAGTTTAAAAACCTCTATGATGTAACTACATAATCTTGTACAAGTAACTTAGTCTTGCTAAACGTTAGTTTGCGTATTCATTTAGTGTGAATAATAATACCTTATAGGATTGTTCTGAGAGTAAATGAGATAACATAGCCCTATTCATAAATGTTCAATAAGATATAGCTGCAGCTAAGATGGTGCTGCTGCTGATAATGATAGTATTTGGCTTTCCTTCCATTTTATTGTAAACTCCTTAAAAGTATCTGTTTCCTTTATTCTTAGTAGGTACTCAATATTTTAAATTGAAATTTAGAATTGAGAATGTGTGATCAAATAGATACAATGAAAAATTTAAAAAGAAATAAAATGGATTTGCCACATAACCAATTTATGATCTGTTTTTTCCACTAAAAGAATTACTTTAGGCAGTTTTAATACATATATTTATCTCTTCTCCATTCTAAAATGCATAATAGTAGTAGAAAGCTACCTACAACATGGGATTTCTGTGAGGAGTAACTGAAATATAGGTAAAAAACTTAGTAGTTAGTAGACAAGTGCTGTATAGGTGTTTCTTTTGATAGTGATGATGTTTCATGATTGGATATATTATTTAGCTGTTTGACTACTATTGTTATACCTCTCCTTACCTTTCTTGGTTTTCTTCTTTGTTGAAGTTCTTTTTGGCTTGTCACTTATGTTAATCTGCTAAATGTCTTTATCTTTGTCCATCTTCTCACTTAGATTTCTTTTTCCTAGAAAGCCTGATCTTTGACCAGATGGCAGTAACATTTGAAGATGTCACTATTATTTTTACTTGGGAGGAGTGGAAATTCCTGGATTCTTCTCAAAAAAGGCTCTACAGGGAGGTCATGTGGGAGAACTACACAAATGTCATGTCAGTAGGTAAAGTTATCCCACCTCATAGGGAATAGTCAGAGTTTCTTCTAGGAACAGTTTTGTTGAGTATTTTGTTTTTTTATCTGGGTGTTATATTGAGGTGTTAGAAGAGATATTCTCAAAAATGTTTCTTAAATCAGGTCACAAATAAATGATAAAGCAAGACAGATTCCAGGACACCTAGGTTGTATCATTAATAGATACTTGTGATTATCAGTTTTAGTTATTTTCTGCATTGCCCTTAAAACACATATCTCCATACGTAGTCAATTTTGTGTGGTCCTAAATTTTTTCTCTCTTCATGCTATTTGTATAAGTTAGCTTTTGTTGTATAACATACTGTGCCAGACTTAGTGGCTTAAAAACAAACTTTATTATTTTTTATGATTCTCATTGACTGGATAGATCTTTTATCTTGGAGAGATTTGGTTGTGGCTGACTGGTCTAAGATTAAGCTGCTTGGCCTGACTCACATGTGGGGCAGTTGGCTCAGTATCAGTGGAGGTAGTGGGAATTCGTTGGTCACATATCTCTCTTCAAACAAGCCAACCCAAGCACACTTACATGGTGGGGGTCACAGGATTTTCAAAAGCATCGAGAAAGGGAAGGGGCTTTTCAAGTCTCTGCTTGTGTGACTTTTGTTATTTTCCCAGTTACCAATGCAAGTTGTGTAGCCAAGCATAGAGAGAGTGTGGAAGGAGAATACCAAAGGTGTAGGTAAAGTAGTGAGTTAATGTAGTCATTTTTTCTCAATCTACCGTGCTATTCTAGAACAGAAAAATAGGAACAATATATTTTGTTTCTTATAATAATATCCAAAATAAAGTAATCTAGTTATATCTCAGTCTTTAAGACTATTTCCATTAAGCAGTTGGCATTATTCTCATTTCTAACAGTGCCTGGTAAATAGAAGTTAAATCTTTCTAACAGTGCCTGTTCAAAATATGCTTGTGGAATGAATAAATAAGTGAATGAATGAATACATACATGAATGAACAAAACAAATGAATTTCAGACCCAAATGGAGCAGCCAGAGTCATAACCCTCCTTTCCTACCCCCACCCACACATATATTCCTATCATTTAAAGATCATTGATTTAGATAGTTGGAAATTTTTCAACACAACTTTTCTCACTATGGGATTATCTTATTTTTCTAGAAAACTGGAATAAGAGCTACAAATCCCAAGAAGAAAAATTCAGATACTTAGAATATGAAAATTTTTCCTGCTGGCAAGGCTGGTGGAATGCTGGTGCTCAGATGTGTGAGAATCAGAACTATGGGGAAACTGTTCAAGGGAAAGATTCCAAAGACTTAACACAGCAAGATCACTCCCAGTGTCAGAAATGGTTAATACTTTCCACACAAGTACCAGGGTGTGGGAACTATGAACTGACTTTTGAAAGCAAAAATCGTAGGAACTTAAAATATAAAAATTTTATACCTTGGCAGTGCTTGGAAACAAAAACCACCCAAGACTATGGTAGAGAAATCTACATGAGTGGTTCACATGGTTTTCAAGGGGGCAGATACCATCTTGGCATATCCAGGAAAAACCTCTCCATGGAAAAAGAACAGAAGCTCATAGTTCAGCATTCTTATATCCCAGTGGAGGAAGCCCTTCCACAGTATGTTGGGGTGATATGTCAGAAAGACCTACTGAAAGATTCAATGGAAGAAAACTACTGTGGCTGTAATAAATGTAAAGAAATTTATTGTTGGAACTCACGGTGTATTTTCCACAAGAGAAATCAACCTGGAGAAAACCTCTGTCAATGTTCTATCCATAAAGCATGCTTCTCTCAGAGATCAGCCTTGTGTAGACATCCAAGAATCCACATAGGTAAGAAGCTGTATGGATGTGATAAAGTTGACAGTAACTTTCATCAGAGCTCAGGAGTTCACTTTCATCAGAGAGTTCACATAGGGGAGGTACCTTACAGCTGTAATGCATGTGGTAAGAGCTTCAGCCGAATCTCTAGTCTTCACAATCATCAAAGAGTTCACACAGAAGAGAAATTCTATAAAATTGAGTGTGATAAAGACCTCAGTAGGAATTCATTACTTCACATTCACCAGAGACTTCACATAGGAGAGAAGCCTTTTAAGTGCAATCAGTGTGGTAAGAGTTTTAATCGGAGTTCAGTACTTCATGTTCATCAGAGAGTCCACACAGGAGAAAAACCATATAAGTGTGATGAGTGTGGTAAGGGCTTCAGCCAGAGCTCAAATCTTCGAATTCATCAGTTAGTACACACAGGAGAGAAGTCTTATAAATGTGAAGACTGTGGTAAGGGCTTTACCCAACGCTCAAATCTTCAAATTCATCAGAGAGTGCATACAGGAGAGAAACCTTATAAATGTGATGACTGTGGGAAGGACTTTAGTCACAGCTCAGATCTTCGCATTCATCAGAGAGTCCATACAGGGGAGAAACCCTATACTTGTCCTGAATGTGGGAAGAGCTTCAGTAAGAGTTCAAAGCTTCACACTCATCAAAGAGTACATACTGGAGAGAAACCCTACAAATGTGAAGAGTGTGGCAAGGGATTCAGTCAGCGTTCACATCTTCTCATTCATCAGAGAGTCCATACAGGAGAAAAGCCCTATAAATGTGATGATTGTGGAAAGGGTTTTAGTCACAGTTCTAATCTTCACATTCATCAGAGGGTCCATACAGGAGAGAAACCTTATCAATGTGCTAAGTGTGGTAAAGGTTTCAGTCATAGCTCAGCTCTTCGAATTCATCAAAGAGTCCACGCAGGAGAGAAACCTTATAAATGCCATGAATATTATAAGGGATTTGATCATAATTCACATCTTCACAATAATCATAGAAGAGGAAACTTATAAATATTGTTCATTTAGTTAACAGCTTCAATCAAAGTTTACCTAACCTTTAAACCCTAAAATGCTGCTGATAAGGAAATCTTATAAATAACACAAGTAATCCCAAGCAACATTTACGGTTTCCCCATCTCCCACTAAGAATTACTTGCTTCAAAAGGAGATCTTTAGAAAAATCCCTATATATTTAAAATTATTGTGTATTTTTCTTTACCTACTATAAATATAATACAGTCATAAAATATATTAAACATTTAAGGAGAAAACTCTTCATTCTATTTCATTCTGGTCTTTTTTTCTGTGCATTTTAGTGTGCGTGAAATTATATTGTGTGTTCAACTTTGTATTTTCACTGACTTCAAAACACTTAAATTTTGGTTTGAATTGAAACTGGCTGGCCATCTGTTAAACAACATCTCTTATCTCCCCTAAAAAGTCCCTAGGAAGTAACAGAAGAGATGGAAACACGCAGAACTTAAAACTCAGTTTTGGCCAGTAGAATTCAGTTGTTTATGGACACAAGCCACCTAATAAAAGATAGGAAAGCATTGTATGACTTTGTGTCTGAGACAGTGTTCTCTGAGTTGTTATCTCTGTCAACCAGAAAACCCAGGGACTGTCCTTCTGTTGCAGGGGTGCTTCACTTTGAGGTGACCACAGTGCACTCTTATCCCTTCCGTTTCCTGGTTTTCCACGCTTAATAATAGGTTCAGATACCAAATAACAAGAAGTACAGAATTTTCTCTAAGTAAGGTGTGAAGGGTATGGACAAAAGTGCTAGAAATGGAAGATACTCTATTGGTTCGAAATTGGAGATCCAAGCAGTAGAATTTTATTTAATCTCAGTAGAACGGAGTGGTAATAGAGAAACATCTGCAAGGACAGCATTGAACTCAGAACTCTGTGCAACGATGAACCCTGAAGCTAATTATGTAAGAAGAGAGTTTGGCCATTATGTCAGAATAGTTAAAGTTAATAGGAATACACAGTCCTAATTATTGATATACAAGTAAGTAATACCAAGAGAAAAAAAAAGTGGGCATGTTTAGGAAAATTGGAATTGCAATACTGAAGAAAAGAATATCATCCTAAAGACTTGGAAACGTATTGCCCTGAAAATTAGCTGCTGCAGGCTTCAGAGGAAATTTCCAAAAATGTTGGTGTCCTCACTGGCATAACAGAGAACCTGAACTCAATAAAACTAGAGTAGAAAAACACAAGTAGAGAAGAGTCTCTAAAGTAAAAAGAGAAATAGGTACAACAAAGAAGGACTTCACGGAGCTCTGAAATGCTGTATCAAAATAAATGCAATAAAAAGTAAAATTAACACTGAAGCATATAAAATAATTGATAGTTAATGGATAAACTTGATCTGATCTTAAATGTATCTGAAAAGGATAATGAGATGAAAACTAAGAAAAGACAGATAGGAATATTAGAGGATGGAGGTCCAGTGTGAGAATTATAGGTTTCTCTAAGGAAGGTGAAAGAACATTTGGCATGGAATCAATGATCAAAGACATTAAGAAACTTTTTCTGAGTTAAAAGTATACGGTCACTAAATTTTAGGCAAAACCAGTATTAAAGCAACCTTAGAAACAGCTTAGAAAGAAGCAATTAAAAGCATGCAGAAAGAAAAATTCTGGTTATCTGTAAAACCAAAAAGGGAGGGTGGATACAGACCTCTGCAACCAGAAGGCAATGGAACAGCACCTTCAGAATTTTGAGATTTGGAAAGTTTATTATCACCAAACAGTTTTATAACAAAAGTGTCTTTCATATGTTCAGGAAACAAATATTTTTGATAAGCAAGAAAACAGTGTAGCATACATGTGCCTTAAAGAGTTTGTGAATGTGGAAATCATGGTATAAAAGGACTAGTGATGAGCACTGAAATCAATTAAACATGCAATTGTCTGAATAGTTTCCACAACTTCAAAAAATTAAATGTGCAAGAAAATATATAAATGCTGAGTGTAAAATGTACAAATGCTGAGTCTGGGTAGGAGAGTAAAGTCAGGACACCCAGTTCATATAAGCAAAGAATAATTGTTTTAGTATAAGGATGTCCCAAATATTGCATGGGACTTACACTGAAATGTCATATATTTGAAATTCAAATTTAACTGGTCATTTCTGTTTTTATTTGCTACATCCAGCAACCGGAGAGAGAGCATAAGTGCCACATTTCTGATCTTAAATAGCAGGGACTCATAATAACATTTTCTTTTTGACTGACAATTTAAGAAAGGTATTTTTTTTCAAACCTAAAATTACAACTTAAAAAAGTTCATATACCTTTCAAAATGGGAGAAGATAAAAGCACAAATTATTCAGTCTCTATAGCAATGACTACCAAAACAATCCCCAAGAAGATGGCCTAAAATATTAAAATAAATGGATCAAGATGATTAAAGCTGAATGTATCAAAATATATTCAATGCTTCATTTTAAAATGTTGAAAACACTGGGTTAAAAATTTCTAATTATGTGCTATAACAGATGAAAAGGCAATATTGCTTAAATGTGAGACCAGGTGAAGGTTTATTAGACAAACATAAAGGAGTACCTACAATATGTTTTTAAAGGTGTTAAAAATGCACTAAGTTAAACTCATTAAGTTGGGTAAAAATATAAAATCATTAGTTTTCTAAACTCTTGCATAATTCAGAAAATGTAATGGTAAAAAAATCTGGTTTTTAATAATTTAAAGAGGAACAAATAAAAATGCAGCATGAAAATAATAATAAAGGGGAAATATAAAAGAGGACTTGACTAGAGAAGTCTTAATTTTCCCTAAGGGAATGTTCCTAATTTATATATTTATTTTAGATCTCATGAAAATTCCAATGAATTTGAGATAAAGGTGTTCTAGTCTTTTAAGGAAAATAGACATTGGAGAAGAGCAAAGATAATTATAAGAAAGATTAATGATATTGCCCTAACATATAATAAATTGTATATTGGTATATGAAGTTGTAATAATGGAGAATTTAATTGTATATTTAAAAAAAAAAGTTAGGATTCTAAGTCACTAAATAGTTTAGAAATATACCAGTGTGTGGATTATATATGTGTATTTTAACATATAGTGCATATGCTTATAGAGTTCACACATGATAAAGATCTGTGAATAGGAGGATTATTCAGTAAATAGTGCTAAGATCATGATTTAACTCTTTAACAAGACTTTCATTTTATGATCTATATCAGAATAAAACATCGATTGAATACAAGTTTTTAAGCTGTATTCCATGGACTTCCATGTGGTTTCAGGAAGACTAGTATCTTCAGAAGCAAAAGAACTGCAAGTTCAGCCACATTTTATCTCTTCATATGCAAAAGTAACTTAAGATTTTATTTTTATAAAGGAAGTTCCACTATAAAATATTTAAAATTCTCTAGAGTGGATTTTTAAACACTCAGAAAAAATACATAATTTGACCACATAAATATTTTTAAACTGTGGGTGAAAAACATGTAAGTCAGAAAAAAATAGGAGAAATATTTGCCACGATTATGACAGTATGAACTCTTTTTAATTAAATGGACACCTAGTTTAAAATGTTGACAACATAAACGGACTAAAGCAATGAAGTATCACTTTTATTAATAAAAATGACAATAGCAATTTTCAGCAAGAGTATGGAGTAATGTATACTTATGTTGAGGGTAAATTGGTAACGACTTTTTGGAAACACAATTTGGCCAATCCTGAGCCTTAAAATTGCTGTTACTCTTTGCTACAGTAATTCTATAGGAATATGTTCTATGGAAGTAGAGTTTCATACTGTTAGGGGGCTTGTAAAGAACAGAGACCCACTCAAGTGATCTCATGTAAAGAACAGGGTTATATAACATCACGTGGTAGAATCTCATATGCACATACACAGATCCCAGGATGTTATCTCACTAAAAGAAGTGAGGGAGCAAGTGAGCCATGGAGCTCTCCATGGAAAAAGAATTCCGTATAGAGGGTAGAGCAAGTGCAAAGGGTCTGAGGCTAGGAATGGACCTGGAATGTACTGCAGCACTGTAAGGGAGAAGGAAAATAGGGAATGAAGTTAAAGGTAATAGGGGCCCTTGTAAGTAATTGTAAAGGTGTTGTCTTTTATTCTAAGTGAAGTAAAAAGTCACTGGAGGGTTTTAAGTGATATAATCTAACAAATTTAAACAGGCTTATTCTGAATGCTGTGTTAAGAATTGACAAAATAGAGGCTAGAGCCAAAGCAGGGATTCCAATTAGGAGGTATTGCAGTTACCCCTAAAAGAGATAAAGTGTTAAAATAGTGTTAACAGTGGAGGTGACAGAAATAATCAAATTTTGGATATATTTTGACCATGATGAATATATCAGAAATTAATTTTAAAACTGGACTTTAAGTAGTATTTTAATAGGTAAAAAGGAGGCCAAAATCCTTTACTACTTTACAGACAGGAAGAATTGCTTGTAAAATCTTACAGTTGAACACAGTGTTTTAGGGACAGTGAAATCAGTCTGCCTAGATTAATGTTTTAAAATTAAAACATTAACCTCAAATATCAATGTTGAGGTTTAAGCTACTCTTAAGGGACTAGAGGATTTTATTTTTCATCTGGATAATATAAAGTTCAAGTTGTGCCATGGGAGTAGTCATGCCCAACTTTGGGGAGTCAGGGTAGGCTTTCCAGAGAGAGGTTCTCATCTTAGTCCAGAATAAATTGCAATAACCTGAGGGGGTGGACAAGGAGGAGTTAAAAGTGTTTCAAGCAAAGTGAGAAAAATGCAGTTTTAGGAATAAATATAGCCTAGTGGTTAAGAGTAAGGCTTCCTGAGCTGAGATCAGTTTTCGGGAAGACAAGGTATATTTCTACCTAATGTCAACAAACATAATCATTGGCTCAGTGTGAACTGGGAGGAATACAGACTCTCATCAGCAATTCTGGTGAGAAAAGTATCAGAGTCAGGAAGATCCTGTCAGAAATTCCTATCAAATTGAATGATTAAATCCTAATATATATTGAATATTAATATGGGGTATGCAGAGGCTGAAAAAGTATGATCCAGTCAAAAAGGCAATGCTATGGTGTGTTTCTGTTTCTGTCTAATCAGGCCCTAAAATTTGGAATACCGACCACAATCACTGCACCCATAAGATATCCTTCACTGAACTTTAAAATTAATCGTCAGATGTATTAGAACTCTAACATTCTTTAAAATAGTTTCCTGGTGAACAGTGACAGCACAGTGGCTGAAGGATTCAAAAGGCTCACTGGGGTTTTACCCAGAATCTGTCCT